TTTTATCCAATTTGCCAGTCTGTGTCTTTTGATTGGTGTATTTAGCCCATTTACATTTGGGGTTAATATTGTTATGTGTGAATTTGATACTGCCATTTTTATGCTAGCAGGCTGTTTTGCCTGTTAGTTGATGCAGATTCTTCATTTTGTTGATGCTCTTTACCATTTGGTACATTTTTGGAGTGGCTGGTATTGATTGTTCCTTTCTATGTGTAGTGCCTCTTTTAGGAGCTCTTGTAAAGCAGGCCTGGTGGGGACAAAATCTCTGAGTACTTGCTTATTTGCAAAGGATTTTATTTTTCCTTCACTTATGAAGCTCGGTTTGGCTGGATATGAAATTCTGGGTTTAAAGTTCTTTTCTGTAAGGATGTTGAATATTGGCCCCCACTCTCTTCTGGCTTGTAGGGTTTCTGCTGAGAGATCTGTTGTGAGTCTGATGGGCTTCCCTTTGTGGGTAACCCAACCTTTCTCTCTGGCTGCCCTTAGCATTTTCTCCTTCATTTCTACCCTGATGAATCTGACGATTATGTGCCTTGGGGTTGCTCTCTTGAGGAATATCTTTGTGATGTTCTCTGTTTTACCTGGACTTGAATATTGGCCTGCCTTGTTAGGCTGGGAAAGTTTTCCTGGATAATATCCTGAAGAGTATTTTCCAGCTTGGATTCATTCTGTTCGTTACATTCAGGTACACCTATCAAACATAGATTAGGTCTCTTCACGTAGTCCCACATTTCTTGGAGACTTTGTTCATTCCTTTTTTCTCTAATCTTGCCTTCTCGTTTTATTTCATTGAGTTGATCTTCGACCTCTGATATCCTTTCTTCTGTTGGTCAATTCGGCTGTTGAAACTTGTGCATGCTTTGCGAAGTTCTCATGTTGTGTTTTTCAGCTCCATCAGTTCTCTCATATTCCTCTCTAAGTTGTCCATTCTTGTTATCATTTTGTCAAATATTTTTTCAAGGTTCTTAGTTTCTTTGCATTGAGTTAGAACATGTTCTTTTAGCTCATGGAAATTTTTCAATACCCACCTTCTGAAGTCTGATTCTGTCATTTCATCACACTCCTCCATCCAGCTTTGTTCCCTTGCTGGTGAGGAGTTGTGATCCCTTGTAGAAAGTGAGGTGTTCTGGTTTCAGGTGTTTTCCTCCTTTTTGTGCTGGTTTCTTCCCATCTTTGTGGATTTATCCACTTATCATCTGTATAGTTGCTGATTTTCAGATTGGGTCTCTGAGTGGATGTCCAGGTTGTTGATGATGAAGTTATTTCTGTTTCTTAGTTTTCCTTCTAACAGTCTGGCCCCTCTGCTGTAGGACTCCTGAGGTCCACTCCAGGCCCTGCTTGCCTGGGGATCACCTGCAGCTGCTGCAGAACAGTAAGGGTTGCTACCAGTTTCTTCTGCTGCTATGTTTGTCCCAGAATGATGCCTGCAAAATGTCAGTCTGATAAGTCCTTTGTGAGGTGACTCTTTGGATATATGGGGGTCAGGGAGCTGCTTGAGGAGACAGTCTATTCTTTATAGGAGCTCAAGTGCTGAGCTGTGAGTTCCGTTGTTCATGCAGAGCTGCTAGGCAGGTATGTTTAAGTCTGCTTCAGTAGAACTCATAAACCCCCTTTTTTCCCCCAGGTGTTCTGTCCCAGGGAGTTAGGGATTTATTTATGAGTATCAGTTGTGCTGCTGCCTTTTTTTTTGCTTTTTTTGTCAGGGCTGCCCTGCCCAGCAAGGAGGCAGCCTAGTCACTCTCTGCCTGCAGAGGCTTTGCTGAGCTGCTGTGGGCTCCACCCTGCTGTCATGTGAACTTCCCTGCAGTCCTGTTTATATGGGTGTGGTTAGAACTGCCTCAGCAATGGTGGCCCACCTCTGTAATGGAAGACTCTCTCTGTTATGGTGGGTTACCTTGGCAACGGTGGGTTGCCTTGGCAATGGCAGGGTGCCTCAGCAATGGTGGGCTACCTCTGTAAGGGTGGAGTGCCTTGGTAATGGCGGATGCCCCTCCCCTCCAAGCTGTACCATCCTGGGTTCAGCTGTGCTTGCAGTGAAACTCTCAACCCCGAGTGTTTCCAATGGCTGTTTTGTTTGTTTGTTTTTGTGGGGGTGGGACCCACCGAGACTGATCACCTGGCTCCCTGCCTCAGAGCCTTTTTTTTTTTAAGTTGAACGGTTGACTCTCTCCCAGGTGTTCCAGTCACCTGCTGAAAGGGCACCGGGATCTGTGTGATTTCCTGTGCAGCGACCCACTGCTCCAGCTGAAACAACGGTGCTGCCCAGGATCAGATAGTTCTTAGTGATTGTAGATACACATTGATATCTGCACATTGAAAAATTAGGTATTTATTTTAGTCTTCACAGTCTGGCCCTATACATGCCCATCCTCTTTATTGGGCCTGTTCAGTTATCTAAGCCGACTGACTTATAAAAGACTGTGACGATTGTGGCTGTTTCAACACTAGAGGGTGCCCTAAGCTCATATTTGTTGTGAGTTTTACAAAAGCCCCAAGGTTGGCATGCACTCTGGCAGAGACGGACCTGGCAAAGATCCAAGGAGTATACCCCAGCTGTGTGAGAATACTGGCCAGGGAGCCAAGTCTGGAAGCCTGTCCCATAGGCCCTGACAGGTGATACTTCCAGGCCAATTCCCCAGTGCAGCAAGAGGGAATGGAGCTGAAACTGGGCTGCCTCTGTACCTGCTGTGGGATGGGAGCTGGTGGCCCAGATATGCACGCCTCCCAACAGTTCTCTACATGGGTGGGGCAGTTCCCCGACTGTAGCAGGAGATGCTGAAGTTGGGACTGGTTCCCCTCAGAATTCACTGTGAGATGAAGGCCAGTCAGTTCACTATGGTAGGTCAGGAGGGTGCACATCCCACCATCATTTCCTGCAAAAATGGGACAGTTCCCAGACTGAGGAGCTGGAGCTGCCTGGGCCCCCTCAGGATCTGCTTTGGGTTGGAGGCTGATGTGCCCATCTTGTAGGCTAACATGGCCGACATGGGTAATCCCTAGACTGTGAGATATTGGTGAGTCTTCCTTTTGAGTTCTTGCACAAACAGTAATAGGCTGGGATCCCAGATAAGGAGGGCTAGAGCCCAGTTACAAGGTAACTTTAAATTCACTTCAAAGACCACTGTCAGTGAGCAGATGAGTCTTTCTGCCAAGGCACTAACGTGCATGATTCCTCCTAGACCCCTTGGCAAATTGTTTTGGCTATAGGCTCAAGGATAAACAGGACTGTAGCTAAGCCTTTTGGGAAACAAGGCTGTTTCTAGATTTAAATCCCAGGGGCAAGATCAGCAGGTCTGCCACCTGGCTGTTGGTTTCCACTCTCAAAACAGTCTCTAACTCTTTGGCTCCACTAGGGATTCACAACTTCCTACCTGAATCCTGCCGAGACTTGTCTGTGCATGAATGCAGAATTCTTAGTTTTGAGAGGATATGAGTGAGTGACTTCCTATTACACCATTCTGCTGACTTGTCTAGATTTTATTTACTGTTTTATAATTTTTAGCATTAAAATAATATACATATTTTGTCAGATGAATCCGTATTTCATTTTTTGAGTGATTATAAATGATACTGTACTTTAAATTTTGATGTTCACATATTTATTGCTGGTATACAGAAATAGAATTAATTTTTATATGTTGATCTTGGATCGGTGACCATGCTGAAGTTATTTATTAGTTCTAAGATCCTTTTTACAGAGGCTTTAAAATTTTCTACATCATCAATCATGTAATCTGTAAGTAAGGACCGTTTAATATCATTTTCACTGAGACATATGCCTTTCATTTCTCTTCTTCCCTTATTCAGTGGCTGTAATGTCCAGGACTATGTTGACTAATACAGTCAACTGGTGAGACCAGTCATTATTTTCAGTCTTGGGGTGGGGGGATTCAGTCTTTCACCATTAAATATCATATCAGCTGTAGTTTTTTTGTAAATGATATTTATCAAGTAAAATAATTTTCCCCATCTTTCTTATTTTATGAGAATTATCATTAATGAATTTTAAATATTAACAAATGCTTTTCTGCATCAGTTGATAATATCGTGTAATTTTCTGTTGATGTGACAGATGATATTAATTCATGTTTCAATATTGAATTCTCCTTGTATCCTGAAATAAACTCCACTTGGTAGTTGTTTATAATTCTTTTTATGTATTTCTAAATTCTACTTGCTAATATTTTGTTAAAAATTTTTAATCTATGTTCATGAAATATTGGTCTGTAGTTAATTAATATCTTTTCCTCATTCTTTTTTAATTTCTCACTTTCTTGTGTTGTTTTTGTCTGGTATGAGTATCAGGATAATTCTAGATTTATAAAATTAATTGAGAAAATATTCTTTCCTTTTCTATTTTCTGAAAGATTGTGTAGAATTGTTATTAATTCTTTAATATTTGGTTGAATTCTTGAATGAAACCATCTAAGCCTGAAGATATTTCTTTTTGGAGAGTTTAAAAAAAATTTGGGCCAGGCACGGTGGCTCATGCCTGTAATCCCAGCACTTTGGAAGGCCGAGGTGGGTGGATCACAAAGTCAAGAGATCGAGACCATCCTGGTCAACATGGTGAAACCCCGTCTCTACTAAAAATACAAAAAATTAGCTGGGCATGGTGGCACGTGCCTGTAGCCCCAGCTACTCAGGAGGCTGAGGCAGGAGAATTGCCTGAACCCAGGAGGCGGAGGTTGTGGTGAGCCAAGATCGCGCCATTGCACTCCAGTCTGGGTAACAAGAGCAAAACTCCGTCTCAAAAAAAAAAAAAAAAAATTAATTTTACCAATTTTTTTCATTTGTAAAATGGGTACTAGAAAGTTTTCAATTACACATGTGGTTCACATAGTAGCACTACAGTTCTGTCGAGCAGCTGCTTTAGATTAGTTCATTGTTAGCGCCACACAAAACACGAACTCTTTTGAAAAGACAATTGGCTAATTTAAGTTGATTCCTTTGAAAATCCAAATTTCTCCTGTTACAAAGAGGAGCTAATTAAATAAAGCTGATTTTAAACCGAGGCTCATTTATTCATTAGTTGTTTTGTCATTTATTAACATCTTCAGTATAAACGAGGGCAATACGTTTATTTCGTAGGAATGTTCTTGAGGATCAATGTAAGAAAAGCAGACAGATAATGTACTTAGCACAGTGCTGGGTACATAGCCCCACATCTGTGGGTAATGATTAAAACTGGAAACCAGTGCTGGGCATGGTGGCTCATGCCTGTAATCCCACTGCTTTTGGAGGTCAGGGCAGGAGGATCGCTAGAGCAGGAGTTCAAGGCTGCAGTGACCTATGATCATGCCATTGCATTCCAGCCTAGGTGACAGAATGAGACTCCAAATTAAAATAAAAATTAAACTGTAAATCAGTGAGGAACTAAACTAAAAAGTGATTAAAAAAAGACGGAATGGATTCTTACAATGTTCAAATGGAGAGTAGATGTCAGGGTGGACAGCAGAGGGCGACAGAGGGAGAGATAAGAATGGGAAAAGTCCCAAGTTTCTGCCTTTCTGGTAACAAAATAGGAAGATTAAATCTGTGAGAAAATTAATTCCATTTTAAACATGTTGAGCAATAGGTGACTGCGGAAATTTTAGAGGAGTTAATATTAGGTAGGAAATCCAGGTTTGGCGCTAAGGAGATTGGTCTGAATTGTCAACAGAGACTTGGAGTCCATAGGTAAGATGTGAAGCCGTAGAAAGGTGTAAGATTACCCAGGGAATATGTTAAGAAGCCATATAATAAAAGGAGGCAGAGCCTATAATCCTAGAACTTTGGTAGGCCAAGGTGGGCAGATCACCTGAGGTCAGGAGCTCAAGACCAGCCTGGCCAACATGATGAAATCCCGTCTCTACTAAATATATATATGTGTATATATATACGTATATGTATGTGTATGTGTGTATATATATATATATATTATATATATATATATATATAATCTCCCCAGGCTGAAAAGGGCCTTTAGTCGGAAGCCAGGGCTTATCTTCCGGCTGCTACAGGGTCACTTGTGATGGGCACACTGCAGGAAGCGGAGGACTCCCGGCACCTTGGCGACCTGCAGGTAGAGATCTGGCTTTTCTTGCCGGCGTGACCCCCGCTGCCTGCCGACTCCACGCCCGCCGCCAGGTAGTGGAGCAGGAACTCACCCGCTCGGTGTGGGCAACTCGACGCAGTTGGCTACGGGAACAGCAGGACGCCGCGAGCTTTGCCCGATCACCTAGCTCTCAGCATCTGAGCTTGGTCAGCTCTCACTTAGAACTTCAGCGATGAAGTTAAATAGTAGCTAGTAAGACTACAACGCGCCACAGTAGGGCTGCATTCAACGCTTTCGGGGTTGCAGGTAGAGGCGTGCTCCTACTGGGTGCTGCGACCTCCCATTTCCTGCGGTCTAGCTGGCCCTGCACCCACAAGATCCGCCCTCTGACGCGTCACGCTCCCGCCAAAGGCCGGCGGGAAGTCACCTAAGCCCGGGCTTACAGGGAAGCCATTCTATACGTGCTAATGGCCCAACGACAAGGCTGCTTAGAAGCCCGAGACCAGTTTAGAAACACTTCTAAAGAGTCCGCAGTCTGCATTTTAGGTGCACTGAAGTGGGAGGTCACTACTGCGTGGCGCGACACCTCCCACGGTCGTTCCTAAGCGCACGCGGAGTCCCCGCCCTGAGGTCTAGTCCTCCCCGCGCCCGCCAAGGCTAATTCCGAGCAGTTGCTCCGGCCGGCAATGTCCCACTCCCGGTATCCGGAACGCGTCATCTAAAGGGCTGATGTTTACCCAGTATCTACAAGTGTTAACAGCTCTTTCTGTGACGGCCTGGGGGCCCTGAAAAGGGCCTTTGGAATCTAGAGAGAAGCTGTGGGGACAGCTCAGCCGCCGAAGCCATAAAGGGTGCGGCCCTGGCGTTTCAGCGCGTACACCACATCCATGGCCGTGACCGTCTTGCGCTTGGCGTGCTCCGTGTAAGTCACTGCGTCCCGGATCACATTCTCCAGGAAGACTTTGAGGACTCCGCGGGTCTCTTCGTAGATGAGGCCAGAGATGCGCTTGACGCCCCCACGTCGAGCGAGGCGGCGAATCGCGGGCTTAGTAATGCCTTGGATGTTGTCCCTCAGCACCTTCCGGTGGCGCTTGGCGCCTCCCTTCCCCAGCCCCTTGCCGCCTTTACCTCGACCAGACATTCTGAAAACTCAGCTCCGACTCAGGCAGAGAGCGTGCTGCTCACTGTGACTGCCAGTCACCGACCAGGGCTTATACTGTCTCGGTGCGGACCTGTTTGAAAACTTCAAAAAAGTGGGCGGAGCTCTAGGCCCCACCTCTGGAGACTCGCTGTAGTTACAAGTCCAGGAAGCAGTCAGTGAACTCAGCCTGATTTCTTGTTGTTTGCTCTTTTGGGAAAACGTTTTCTGATATTTTTGCCATAAATTTGGAGAAAGATTTCATTGTGATACAGTTTAAAGTTAAAACACTATGAGCTAATAGAATTTATATTGCCTTTTCTCAGCCCTTATAAAAGCAGGCCAGATTCTATGCACGTTCTTTGTCCTCTCCTTTCCTCCCTCCAATTATATTTTTTCAAACAGAATTTCCGACTTACTATGAAACTCAATAGAAACCTGTAACGCTTTACATCGGAGATTTCAAAGCAATTACCCACGATTTTTCACTCGTGGGTTTTTAAAAGACATTGTAGGAGGATAGGACTCTATGTGACTCTGCGTATCTATCTATCTATCTATCTATCTATCTATCTATCTATCTATCTAACTATCTATCTATCTATCATCTATCTATCTATTTCGCGGCCTCGCAGAGAATTAAAATACTTTGAATTGAAATAAAAAAGTCTAGCTTCCCGTCTCCCACCTCCACTTCGCTCCCACTTCACTCCCACTCCTCCCCCACCCCCGCCATTCCCCTTTCAGCTGTTTCTGCGAAATTTGCAGGTTTTCCTGCCCTGCAAGAGCCTGTGTGCTTTTCAACCAAGTAACTGTTCCTAATTAAGCTGAATTACTGTAAATGTCTTATGTCATTCAAATCTCAGGTTTTCATCTCGCATTTTTTACTTAAAAATTCAAAGTTCTTATAAAATAATGGATGCCAGAATCTCGGCTTTGAATAATGATTTCTACCGCAAATCCCCTCTGGAGGTTCTGAAGTCCTTCCTTTCTCAAGAGAATCTCAACAAAAACGGAAGTTTCTGTAAGTTGTCACCGCTCTTGGAAGTTCCGTGTCAGGACCTTGTCTTCCCTGAAGGTTTAACTGCAGCTATTATTTAGAGGATGATTCATAAGTCTTATTAGGATTCTGAGCAATGAATTTTAATAAGTGGGGCTCTTTGTTCCTGGTCTTGAAGATAAGCCTTTACAGAAGGAAGGCCTCAGGGTAAAATTATATTTCTAAATGCTTACAGTTTACACTTGATTCAATCCTTGCCTATCTTCATAACCCAAAAGGCATTTCTTTTTCTTTCACTCCATTATTTTAATACTTAACTCAGAGGAAAGAGGAAAAGTCTACCAGATCTTGAAGAGATAATTATTGTAATGGCAAAATAGGTTGACTTATTTATACTTACTTTCTAAGAAATCAAGGCTAGAACATTTTCAAATTAGAAATCTCTTCCTTATAAGAATAAAAGAAAAAAACCGCGTCCAAAATAGTAATACTTTCAGAAACTCTTGAAAAATTCCCTATGGTAGAGGCAAAAATGGAAACTAGTTTACAGAACTCGTTCCAGGAACACCTCATTAAAAACTGCGTCAGAGATTTGTATGCCCATTTATTTAGTCTATCTAAGAGTTATTGGATACTTACTAATGTATTTAATTTTCAAAACACTTTGATATAGGCACAGGAGTCAAATAGCTTATCGAAGGTCACTGCTGAGTGGTAAAGCCAGGATTTAGGCTGGTGAAGTCTGGCTCCAGAAAGACTGTCTAAACTAAGACAATAGCTCTGAAGACACTTACTGAGTTATGGGTTGATCATTGCTCTAGGCAGTAATAAGATATACATAAATACTTGAAAATGTTATTTCAATGAAGTCAAATCTTTATTCGGATTGTGAGAAGGTAAATTTGTTTTACTTCATATTTAAATGGATCCAAATAAAATGTTGTTTCTTTAAGCAAGTGTTCAGCATCATATCACCTATCGGGGTTAACTGTGTAACTGTGAAAATGTTCAGGTAGGCCGGGCACGGTGGCTCACGCCTATAATCCCAGTTCTTTGGGAGGCCGAGGCGGGTGGATCACGAGGTCAAGAGATCGAGACCATCCTGGTCAACAAGGTGAAACCCCGTCTCTAATAAAAATACAAAGATTAGCTGGGCATGGTGGCACGCGCCTGTAATCCCAGCTACTCGGGAGGCTAAGGTAGGAGAATTGCTTGAACTCAGGAGGCGGAGGTTGCGGTGAGCAGAGATCGCGCCATTGCACTCCAGCCTGGGTAACAAGAGCGAAACTCCGTCTCAATAAAAAAAAAAAAAAAGGAAAGAAAATGTTCAGGTAAAAATGAAATGACCTCGATGAATTAGTCGAAAGTAATTTCTATGTAAAACAAAACACTTCTCTTTTTTCTGTTTCAAAAATCATGGGTTAGCATAAGAATAAGCTGCCATACTTTAGTCCCTGGGCTCATTTACAAAGAGACCCCGGGGGCCTCCAAGTCTTCGCAGGAGACGCTATCCACTGATCCGGGCGCCCTGACTTGCGGGGAGCAAGCAGAGGCCAAGACTTCGGCCTCTCCAATAAAACCTAGTGGCTCTTTGCAGGCCCATAGCCTCAAAGACAAAAGAAATTTTGGCTAGGCGAGTTTGTTCCCGCCAGTGCAGGAAGCATGCCCATCTCGTCACTCTGTCTTCAAAGCCTTACAAGCGAACGATTGGCTGGCTGTGGGCGGCAGGATCTTGCGGGGACACCAGTGTGGTCTCCACACTGTTGAGTAACTGGAGGCAAGGCGCTTGTATAAGTCCACAGGCCAGGCGCAGTGGCTAACGTCTGTAATATCAGCACTTTGGGAAGCCGACGCAAGCGGATCACCTGAGGTCAGGAGTTCGAGCCCAGCGTGGCCAACATGGCGAAACCCCGTCTGTACTAAAAAATACAAAAACTAGCCAGGCGTGGTGGCGAGCGCCTAATCTCAGCTATTACAGAGGCTGAGGCAGGAGACTCGCTTGAACGCGGGAGGCGGAGGTTGCAGTGAGCCGAGATCGGCCACTGCACTCCAGCCTGGGCGACAGAGCATGTCTCTGTCTCAAAAAAAAAAAAAAAATAATAATAATAATAAAGACAACGAAAGAAAGAAAGAGCCCATGGACCCTGTCCTAGGCAGGCAGAATTCCGCGGAGAGGTTGTCGTTTCGCCTAAGCAGCGGCGGGCTGCGGAGACAGAAACCTACCTGCCTAGCATGCTGTATTATATGAGAACGTCCATTTACATAGCAACGACTTGTTCTGGATTTTTCTTCTGTTCCTAACCATGTTTCCTTATTTCCTAGTAGTTTATTTGCTTGGGAGCGGGCGTGGTCTTGGAAAACCTATAACCACTAAATTCAACTGGGTTACCAGATGCAGAACGGGCTGGCCAAGTTATTTATGTGAGCGGCTATGTAAATGAGGATTCCGGGATTGCGCTATTGATTGGAGAGAGGTGAAGGAGGCCGTCTCTCTCCTAGAGCGATAATTGGGAGAGGAGCCTGCCTGTCATTGGTCACCAGAGCCAATGAGAAGGGGCTGCCGCGCGGCAGCAAAGAGTTTGTCAAGGCTGTGCGGGTGGAGCACGTTGCATTCCGGTACCGGACGCCGTGAGCGGTTTGTCTGCCTTTCTGGAGTGGGCGTGAGGTGATCATGTCCGGTCGCGGAAGACAGGGCGGCAAAGTGCCAGCAAAGGCCAAATCCCGCTCCTCTCGCGCGGGCCTGCAGTTCCCGGCGGGCCGAGTGCACAGACTACTGCGCAAAGGGAACTAGGCGGAGCGAGTGGGCGCCGGCGTCCCTGGAGGCGGAGATCCTGGAGCTGGCTGGCAACGCCGCGCGGGACAGGAAGACCGGGATAATTCCCCGCCACCTGCAGCTCGCCATCCGCAACGACGAGGAGTTCAACAAGCTGCTGGGCAAGGTGACCATCGCTCAGGGAGGCGTCCTGCCCAACATCCGGGCGGTGCTGCTGCCCAGGAAGACGGAGAGTCAGAAGGCGAAGAGCAAGGGACCGTGACGCGGCCCCCGGGGAGCTGGCTCCCCCAGCAAGGGCCCTTTTCATGGCCGTCCCGCCACGCTTTTGAATATGCCGGATGTCATGGAGGGCCGGTGACATCTAGTGGGGAGGAGGGCGGCGAGGGACCCTGCGGGAGCCAATAAAGTTGGTGAAAATAGTTTGGTCGAGAGAGCTGTGTAGTCTCGGGGACCTGCCGGATGGCCCCGGGTGGGGGCGACCGGGAAACCGTTGGAGCAGGTATTGGTGGGTGGGCTCTGGCGCCTCTGGACTGCTTTGGTCCGCAGGTCACCCTTGAGGCGTTAGGGGAGGGTAGCCTGGAGGTGGGCAGGGTGGGAGCGCACCTCGCTCTCAGTGGGGCAAAGGGGAGGCAGAGTCGGTGCGGCGAGGCCTCCTCCGGAATTATTTTTACTTCCCCTTCCCGGAGCCTTCGCTCTCCTTGTTTGGGGGCACTGGGGACAAAATCCGGGAAGAAAACCGTCGGGTCGAGCTGGGCTTGGGGCAGGAAGTGTCCCCGGCCATATTTTTTCCGTCTTGGAAAGTGGCTCTGATGGCGCAGTATCAAGGCTAAGATTAGCGGATTCTTCTTGGCCTGGTAGCTGCTGTGCTTTCATCCATTGGATACCAGATATCTTTATGTGGCACCCTTATGTTCATATGTTTTTAAATGAAGGAAAACTTCAATAATTGGGTAATACGGAAGCATGAGTCATGAGGTTGGAAATCCGTTCCCCTGACTGTCATGTTGCATAATAACATTGCAGCGCCTTTAGTCGTGCGTTACATACGCGTAAACTTTTAAAGTGATGTTCTCACGTTTCTAGCTTCATAATGATCTGGTCTTCATCATATTCTCTTTGAGACTCTGACTTTGCTTTAAAACTAAACAAAATCTTCTTGCTTTTAGAAAGGGTTCTTACCCAACAGAAGACCTGTTTGAAGTCCCTTACACTACGTTCCCGCTATGACCTCATTCCAGTAATATCTTTGGGAGTTGCATTGCCTAATGGTACAATATTGCTCTAATGAATATGTGATGAAAGATGGGGCCAGATACTTAAGTGTGGGGAGAAACACATTTCGGAGCAGGAATCCACATTTGAAAGTTAAAGCTAGTAATCATCTTCTGCCCTTAGCTGACACCCCCATTTATTTCATCCTTCTCAGCAAATTTCATCCTGCCCCAGAGGCCCCACAAAAGATCCCAGTACGGATTTCACAACTTTGGATTAATCTTTCCTCTGAGTCAGAATCGAAGTCTTACCCTCAAATATATGGATATATTGCATGTCTTCATCCCTAGTAGCAGCTGGCCCTTTTTCCCATGTGGACTTAAATTTCGTCCCCAGTATTTACTGAACATCTCTCTGTGCCAGGATCTGTACAAAGTGATAGGGATACAGCTGGGAATGAGGCCGACCAGATTATCACTCTTGGAGCTCACTTTATTTCTATTCGTTCCTGAAGACAGAGACAGGGCAAGTAACAAATACATACGATAATATGGGAGATCAGCTTCTGTTAGTATTTGTGCCTCTCTGCTGTTTGTGGATGAATAATGGAATTACTTCTCCCATGTTGCCATTTTTGAGATGTACAAAGGTCAGGCCGTACACACCTCTGTTAGGAGGCAAATCATTGGGCAGGTTCCAGATGTCCTGCTGTTGACTCCACTCCCTGTGGTTTTGTCATATGTAAAAGTCATAACACCTGTTTTAAGGATTGAGATTGTTCATTTACTATGTGCCACATATTAGACACTCAATAAACGGAAAAAGTACCATGTTCTATGAAGGTATGTTTAACCCTTACAGGTTAAATTATAGGTAAACATTAACAGGACTGTTTAAAAATGCCTAATTGTTAGAATTAGTACTCATTGTTACTACTCGGGGTCAGTGGAACAAATGCATATATGGTTTTAACATTTGAGTCTAATTAAAGAGATGAGGCGTCTGAGAGATTGTTACCAAAGTGATGAAGAAATAAAGACAAAGGGCAACAAGCCACTGATATGAAAAAAACATCTTTGTCTTTCCCTGGGAAGAGTCACAGGAGTCTGTCCAGCTCTTGTTACCTGATGAGCAGCATAGACAACATATAAGGCATGGCAACTGCCCTGTCTGCACTCACCTCTCTCACCTCTACCCCAAGGGTTCTTAGGATCCCCTCAAATATTTCTCCTGGCTCAAGTTCAGTCAACCCCTTACCATTTTTGTTTTGAGAGTTTTTTTTTTAACCTGAAGAATTGATTGGCAGTTTAAAATGCATACTCCTACAAAATAGCTCAGCCCATGATCCGTGCTGAACAAACAGTAATTCCTGCCGATGTGTGATTGTTAATTTAAAAGGCCAATATTTCTTCAAGCATAAGACCATACGGAAAAAGACCTAAGACAAAATCTGGTGGGAACTGAATTCCAGTTTTTAATAGGGTTATAATCCATAGTTTTATTTACACACACACATACTCTTATTGCAGAGATAAGCCATTCATTGTGGCTATGGCTTGGCCAGGACTTGTTTGATCTTTGCTTTTCCTCAGGGCCAGTCTTGTCTTTGTGTCCCCGAGGACCAGTCTGTTTAGTTGTGCCTGCCTAGAATCAAAAGGTTTAGTCAGACCCCTTAATTGGTGATGACTGGCGTACTACATGCACATTTCACAAAGCCCCTTGCTCTCTGCAGTGAGACTTAGATTCAGATTCAGATTCTACTCCTTATCTGAATTTTGGAAACTTAATCTCTTTAAACCTCCGTTTCCTCTCTAAAATGGGCATAGTAGTTTACCTTAGCAAGTTTGGGGAGGATTCAGTGAATTAATGTGAGTGAGGACACTAAGATTCCCATATAGAAATAGGCTCAGTGAATAGTAGCTTTCTTATTTCTATGTAAAGTGAGTAGCGGTAGTTGATGGGACCTGCTGAAACAGGTAAACATACAGCATTCTAGCAATCCTGTGACTTTTGTGACAGCAAACCATAAACACAATTTTAGTGGCTGTTTCACTAACTAAAGGACATCCACAATTCAATGTATAACAAAAAAGTAATAAATGGTTAATGCTTGTGAACCTGAATTTGCATGTTTGTTGTTTTATGGTTTTTGTTTATGTTTTTTTTTTTTTTTTCTGCCTCTGAAGACAACCTAGTTTAGAATTTATGGCTTGTTAAGTCCACTCACACACATTAAAAATGGATCCTGTTTGTTTAACAATTTATTGAACAATATTATGTGTTATACCTATGATTGGTAACCAGCTATCAAGAAACTTACTGTCATGGGACACACAAAAGGAAGATAACAGGCTACATGTAGAGAGAAGGAGATGCTCAGGGTGTTAACAGAAACGGGGAACACGGGTACCTGTGACATTCAGCGGGTGGGGGGGTCCACTGGCTGGTGGGAGGCGCAAGCTGGGCTGACAGACAGCATGCACGAAGACATGGGCTCAAAAGGTAACTCCTGCAACCGGATTTGAATCCGAATTTAGGGAAAAAAATCTGGCCCAGAGATAAGAATTTGGGAGTCATGACTGAAAATAGCAAGAGTAGATCAAAGCATCCAGAAAGAACATATACATGGATAGAGAGTATAGACAGATATCGAAAATTACCACAACCGACAGAATCTGGGGATCTGTGAGATGTAATCAATTGGCAGAGGAAGAGGCATCACTTAGGAGAGGATGCGGCGGAAGGACTCCGGGAGAGAAAGCGTCAGTAGAGAGTTTTCCACAATTTGGATCACTGTGCTTCTTCATACCCCTGCTTGCTTATCTGCCATATAACTAAAATATGGTCTTTAAAAGTTATTACTTTTTTCCACACAGGAAATGGTGACAAGCCAGCTCATGTTACTAATGGAATTGGAGTTGAAATGCATTTTTACCCTTTACATTTTAAAATTGCACATATGGAAATTTAAGGTATACATGGTGACAGCACAAACATTTTTCTAAAATAAAAACCAAGAAGATTATTGGCAAAGAACCCTTAAAGACATCCTTTATCTTCCTTCTTTTTAGTTGAATATAATTTTTTACATCTCAAGTTTTAAAAAAGTTTCAGAAAAAGCAGTGACTTACTCATAAAGCCAATGTAGGCATTTTAGAATGATTAAAACATGAGAAATTGGACTCGGACAAGCCAATTAAAAAAAATCAATAAATGTTTAGTTTTCCAAGAGAGGGAAATGGAGAATAAGAGGAACAAAGAAGAAGCAGAGGAAGAAATAATGAAACTGGTTTCGGGCAGATATAAAATTAACCACTGTAAAGCTTTACTTTGTTTTCTCCACAAGCGGAGGCAGGAGAGCTTATGTGCTGAAAATCAAATTGTAACATAGACTTGAAGGAGAATGGTGGCTTATTCGAACAGTAACTTGGATCCATGACATTTTTCTGTTTTTTTAAATTTTTTATTTTTTTGAGACAGGGTCTCCCTCTGCTGCCCAGGCTGGAGTGTAGCATTGTGATCACAGCTCATTGCAGCCTCCATCCCTGGGCTCAAGCCATTCTCCCACGTTATCTTTCTGAGTAGTTGGGACTACAGGTGTGTGTCATTACACCTGGCTACTTTTTCTATTAGTAATTTTTGTAGAGATGGGATTTTACCATGTTGCCCAGGTTGTTCTCTAACTCCTGGGCTCAACTGATCTTGATTCTGCCTCCCAAAGTGCTAGGATTACAGGCATAAATTACCATGCTGATAGAGCCTTGATAATTTTACCAAGTCATGAAATATAAAAGCCAACATTGCTTAACCCCAAAGTATTCAACAAATTATCTTTTAGACAAACAAGTAATCTGCTCATGAGAGTTTATTTGCTTTCTGTTTGTTTTTGTTTTGAGAAGGAGTTTTGCTCTTGTTGCCCAATCTGGAGTGCAATGGCGCGATCTTTGCTCACTGCAACCTTTACCTCCTGGTTCACCATGTTAGCCAGGCTGGTCTTGAACTTCTGACCTCAGGTGATTCGACTGCCTCGGCCTCCCAAAGTGCTGGGATTACAAGGGTGAGCCACCGCGCCTGGCCTGCTTTCTATTTTAAAGTACTTCTCAAATGAACTGTCTTTTTCATGTTAAAAGCCCAATTTGACCACTAGTTCCTAAGTATCCCTGATGAAATTGTGCCTATTAGAGACAGAAGTGTACAGATTATTACCCTTATATTGAGACAACATGAAGAGAGCTTGTGTTTGGCCTGAAAGAAGTGCAGTTTTAGACTGTGAAGACTAGGAGAGATGCAGTGGTATGTAAAGATGTGTAACTTCTCACCCCCAGAGTTTGGCCAATGGCCAGCTATTAGTCTAGGCAGACAGACTGAAATAGTCCAGTTCTCAGGGGTGAATAGACAAGACTGAAGAAGAAGCCTTAATTAAGTTTAGAAATGGTAACCCCAAGCAAAATATATCCTAAGATCTCTCGTCTGGAGACCTTCTGAACTCCTCAGCACTTGGAGGTCACTTGCAAAGATTCATCATAACTATGGTTATACCTTTCCCTATGGACAATATTAAATATTAGACAAGCAGTACAAGCAAGAAATAGAAGACTAAAAATGGTTTGATGAAAATATAAATCTGATTAGATAATTTAAAAACCAATAGGTCGTCTTCCTGGAGAAACACATAGTCAACACTGAAGTGCTTCCACAAATATAGGAACTCCGTTCAATGTGAACTTACTTCCCAGTCATGAGCAAGAGGCACCTCATCCAGTAAGTGACAGGAGGTCTCTATGTGCACACTGCGTTGAGAGTCCTGGTGCAAGCAATGAGAGCTTTGGCTAACCTTATATTTTTGTCCATGTTGGAACATATTACTAGTTGCACAAGTTGGGTTTATTGCCCTTTGCAGCAAAGGGGAACACATTCCATGGGGAAATGTGGGTGTCTCAGTGAGAGGTTGTTAGGGTATAGTATTGGATTTGGGCTGTATTAGCAAAGCCAAAACACAAAACTCCATCAAAGATATCAACTCTAAGAAAAGAAATGCCTTATTATATTATTGCGCTACATTTTCGGTTATTACCAATTTTTGATAATATGGGATTCACATGAAAGGCATTTAAGATACTGTAGAAAGTAAGGCATGCCTAAATAATGCCTACATTGTGTGTATGTGTTTATGAAATACACACTTTGGACCACTGGATAAATCACGAGTCCTTTTTAAGTTTCAGTATCTTCTAGTGTAAAATGGGGTAAATACCCAGAAAAGTAATCTAATAGGGTTACTTGTTAGATGAGTTAGTCATGAAAGAACTTCGTAAAGAAATGGTATAAATGCAAATTAATGTTAAGCATTCTTATTCATTCATATTCTAATATAAAAGCACAAAAACCCCACCTCTTTAAAAAGTAAAAAAAGCTAACCTTTTATGATTCATTAAAAATGGTTTAAAATGACCTTTACCATTCCACTTGTATCAGTTCACAAAGCTCTGGAATAAGTAAGCACTGAAGGTAAGACATCTTCAGAAGAAAAGCCGAGCCGTACTATTCCTAATACCTCTCAGTTTGTCTAAAGCCAGTACGACAATCTTAAAGAATTACTTTTATCCCTCAAAATTAAAAACTTAGTTTTTACCATGTTTTCAGTAAGATTCTCATTCTGTATCAGAAATGGCACTTCCTTAAATCCAAGTTTTAAATACTTAACCGTTTTTTTCCCCCATAAAAAAGGTATTATGTTTACACATTATCAGTAACACAGAGTATCTTGGTGTAGAACATTTATTTATTTTTCCCACGAATCACTCAAACTTTAGGTCAGTGGGAAATAATTTTAATCAAAGAATTGTACATTTTCTTCCCACATATCCTGCCTTGTCTTAGGAAATGACACTGTGATCCATTTCATTACAAGTAAAATATTACAAAATATTTACAGGAAAATATTAAAAATAAACAGAAAAGGCAAGATGAAATAAACTGTTTTTGTCAGAAATCTCTACTCCAGTGCCTACAGCACACAAGAAGAGAGTCAAAACAAAATAAGCAACAAGGATCCCTCTGATCACAAATTTCCAAAGAACTGGTGAAGAAACAGGATGAAAACAGTGGTGTGAAAGGGAAAGATGTTAGCAGCACTGCTTCAATAACTGATGTATTCTGAATGAAATACTCTCTTTTATGTGCAGTAAATTCTGGACAAGGCTAAATTTTAGGATATTCCTTGAACTGAAATTAGAAAATACCCTGACAATGGAAGCAGCTCTTTCATCTAAGTTTAATAAGAGCCTCTTTCTCCATGGGCCACTGTTATGAACAGAAGCCTGTTCTGGCATCAAAAGCTGTCACAGTAGCCCTTCCATCTCCTTCATGAAAGCCTCATAGACATCATCCTTAGTTTGTACTGAGACAGGAACAGAAGGACCAGATTTGGGTGCTGCCTTGGCAAGAGGCGCAGCAGAATCATCCTCTGACTTTCTTTGGGGAGCAGCAGTAGCTCCTTTATTCTCCCGACGTACTCTCAGTGCAGTGGGCACAAATCGAGTAATCTCTGCCTTGGGATTAGTGATCTGTGGCTTGGCACTGATGGTTGCTGTGGCTTTCTTCTCAATGGTGGCTGCACTCGTATCATCCGCCTTGGGTCGCTGAATCAAGTTGGGTGGGGCACTTAAAACCCCAGGGTTCGGCAAGGGAGCTGGTGGGAAAAGCCCAGGGGGAGCAGGTCCAAGGGGAGGCACCAAAGGTGGGCGCATCATGCCAGGACGAGGTGGAGGAATACCTAAATGAATAAAATAGGCAGGATGAATACTACAAGAACTAATACAATTTAACTACTATTAAGGACATTTAAATATTAGTTGCCAATTTAAAAAAAAAATGGGTAACAACTTACAGAAAATATGCTGAACTTATGTTGCTTGCTTTCTAAACTCAGGAATATTCTATTATAAAACAATACTTACCTTCAACTTGTCTTCCTATACGTACAGTAATATGTTCTCTTCTTCTCTAAATCAATGTCCTACTTTAAAATATAAAGTGCCATCAACTGGTTTCAAATATTATTTCAAATCTCACATCCCAAGATTCTATTCCAGCTGGATAGTGCAGATATTAGTAAGTCAGGAGACTGATCCCCATGCATTATATTTCCATACCACTTCCCCTGCACAAAAAGGTAACAACAGGCAGGAAATAAAATTTTAACCCTGCTTATTAAATGCACATGGAGGCCGAGCATGGTGGCTCACACCTGTAATCCCAGTACTTTGGGAGGCTGAGGCATGTGGATCATTGAGGTCAGAAGTTTGAGACCAGCCTGATCAACATGATGAAACCCTTTCTCTACTAAAAAAAAAAAATTAGCAGGGCATGGTGGTGCACGCCTGTAATCCCAGCTACTTGGGAGGCTGAGGCAGGAGAACCGCTTGAACCTGGGAGGTGGAGGTTGCAGTGAGCTGAGATTGCACCATTACATACCAGCCTGGGCAACCAGAGTGAAACTCTGGCTCAAAGAAAAAATAAAATGCGCATGGAGCAAGAGAATGCAACTAATAACAATCTGTCATCACTACCAGGAAAGCACTCATGTCCTGTCAGCAGTTCAGACATAGATAGTATTCATATACCAAGAACCGCACATTTCAATTCTTCAAATGCCACTTTTAAATTAAAGTATTACATTTTGCCATATCTAAGATCCTACTGATTATATAAACTGATAATTATTCTGTGCATCACTGAGAGAGAGAGAGAGACAGGAAAAAAAAAAAGCCCCAGCTGGGGCACTTAAAAAAGCAGACCTTCACATGAAACTGGCACATTTTAGTGTGGGAAACTAGAAATAGACCTGTCACATAAAACAAGCCTACAAGAAAATCTGCATGTCTAACCTTGACACTAAGTAGAGGAAAGAGAAAAAAACTCTGTAATTTTAAACTTTAAATTGGTACTCAACCAGAGGTATGAAACAGCCTCATAACTACTAACTAAAACCAAAAAATTATCAAATAGAGAATTTAATCCCATGTTTTCTGGCTAGAAGTTCATCAAGTGACAGTGAGAACAAATACCAACTGGAAATTGTAAAAACCAACTGGAAGTGCAAATACCAACTGAAAGAATTCTACTTCAAGCCAGGCCAAGAGCAATTTAAAAACCACTACTGATTGTAAGATTACCTCAGATTTCAGAACACTGAAATGTGACAATATTTTTCAGAGCGAATGAAATAATAAACAGTAGGATACATTTTTATTATAGAAACTGAAAGCGTCACCTGGAGGTGCAGGGGGAGGTAGCCTTGGTGGAGGTCCCCGAGGAGGAGGACCAGGAGGCAGACCTGGAGGTGGACCTGGGGGAGGGCCAGGGGGTCGGCCTGGTGGTGGTCCTGGAGGTAAAAGTCGGGGTAAAGGCCCTCGGAGTCCTGGCATTCCAGGTGGTCTAAGGAATGGAGGAGCTCCTGAAAAGAGAAAAATGATACATTAATGTCACACAAATGTACATTAAGTAATAATTACGGCTTAAAAGTAACTCAAATATGGATTGACTTTAACCTGAAATCAGATCCACTTCAAAAACTTAATGAAACATACATGAAAACAGAGTTCATTCAATATCTGAACACCAGAAAAAGAGTACTAGATTTGTTGAGGATCTTTAATTTCCCAACACTGACTAAAAGCATACTCAATCACAGCTCTGCAGTGCTGGAAATATACAATGGTGATAAGAATTCTTAAATGTTTACAGTATAAGCTGAAAAATGGAATAAAAAAATGCAATGCTTTAAGGACCCTTCCCCCCCAAAACTCAAGAACATATAAGACCATTAAGAATGACATACTATAGGTAACTTTCCTTTGTACCAATCGGAAAATGATGAGCTCAACTGAAGAAAACTTAGAAGGCTGACAACAGGATGAAGGACTTGAATCACAAATAGCTGAAAAGTTCTCTGTGCTTCATTTTACGATCTTTTTATACTTTTAAGCTGAAAACTTAGTAAGATTAAAACTTAATAAAACTTAATGAGACCTAAGATTAATCACCTTTGCCTCTAAAAAAGATCTACAACTAAAAAGACTATGCAGATTACACTGACATTCAACATTCCTAACTTAAGAACACAAGACAGTATTAATTGTGTCTTACTCCCACTCCCACTCACTGCGAGTTTAGAACTAGGTCAACTTATCATACTAAAAAGCAATACTAAAGAAAGCCTCCATTACATGTTCAAGTTTCTGTCTGCTGTAATCACAAGAACTCTGAAAAAAGGAGTGCTTTGGAGAAAAACAGGTGCTATCAGTAGAACTATGAGTTGCAAACAATAGTTTGGGAATGAACAAGTTTTACCTGTCCTTTAAGAATTCTTCACATCTTAGAGAATTCCATTAGGAAGAAACAAGAAAACATGAACAACAACAATGCATATTTTTTGGAATGACTTCACTAACCTCACTTAAACTTTATTTATAGTATTTAAGGCTTACCAGGAGGTGGACCAGGAGGAAGGCCCGTAGGTGGCCCAGGAGGCCGTAATGGTGGAGCAGGTGGTGGTCCAAGAGGTGGTGGTCCTGGCATGGGAGGTGCTTGTATCTGAGAAGGAGGAACAGACTGCGGGGGAGCCTGCTGCTGTGAAGAAGCAGTGGATGTGCCATCGGAATGGGATTCCTCTTTATGTTGTTTCTGTGATTGCTTTTCTGCTTCAGAGTCATCAGAATCATCTTCATCATCATCTTCTGAAAATTCCTCTACCTCCCGTCCCTCCTCAGGGATTTCTTGACCTGAAAAAAATTTTAAACCCAATAAATACAGTTGATTCAGTTTTTTCAGATTGGAGAATAGCAATGACTAAATACACATGGTTAACAAATATGTTCTTAAAATTAAAAACCAAATAGTCTTCTTCAATAAAATACTTAGATGTGAAAGAATAAAATAATATTCTACTCATCTATGTTAGTGTAGCATAGTGGAATGAACTCAGACTTTAAAAGAAGATAGACCAAGATTTAAATGCCAGTTCAACCATTTACTTGCTGTGTAACTTTGGGCAGCCTATATAATGGCTCCAAACCTTATTTCTGTAAAACAAGGGCTTATTATTTACTTGAAGATAGTTGAGATACTAAATGGAAAAATGTATGTAAAGCAATTAGCGTGAGGAAACACTAAAAGGTGATTCACTATTTTTTCCCTGCCTTACCTGCCATACGAAGCATCATGGCTTGAAGAGGAGTCAGTTCCTTCATATTTTTCTTTTTCTTCCTTGATTTTCCAGGCATATCTGCAAACCGTACACTCAGACCTAAGGGGACAGGGAGGGAGTGAAGCAGATTGGGTTCAACAAAATTCAGTAAATGTTTACTATATAATACTGTAAAGAACTAGATATGATTGCTACTCACTACTTGACAGAAGTGCAGGAAGAGACAGCTATGTTAATAATATGAACACCTGGATAAAAACAATTTTCTTGAAAATATAAATTACTAAAATTGGTCAAGGAAGTGATAAGTCCAGAACATACAAAACTTAAATGGTCGCTAAAGATCTCCTCAAAAGCTACAAATAATTTTAGGAGGAAATTCAGCCAAACATTAAGTTACAGAAATCTCCTAATAAAGAGCATAGGAAAAGAAGAAACGGGCCGGGTGCGGTGGCTCACTCCTGTAATCCCAGCACTTTGGGAGGCCAAGGTGGGCAGGTCATGAGGTCAGGAATTTGAGACCAGCCTGACCAACATGCTGAAATCCCGTCTCTACTAAAAATACAAAAATTAGCCGGGTGTGGTGGTAGGCACCTGTAATCCCAGCTACTCAAAAGGATGAAGCATGAGAATCAATTGAACCTGGGAGTCGGAGGCTGCAGGAAGCCAAGATCATGCCACTGCACTCCAGCCCAGGCGAGAGAGCAAGACTCTGTCTCAAAAAAAAAAAACGCAAACAATGAAATGTTACCCAACTCATGAAGCTAGCATAACCCTAATACCAAAAATCATCTACTGACCAACATAAAATATAAGCAAGTTTATGCACGTTTATAGCAGCACAATTTGCAATTGCAAAAATCTGGAACCAATCTAAATGCCCATCAACCAATGAGTGAATAAGGAAAATGTGGTATATATCCACCATGGAATACTATTCTGCCATAAAAATGGAACAATATAATGGCCTTTGTAGCAACCTGGATGGAGTTGGAGGCCATTATTCTAAGTGAAGTAACTCAGGAATGAAAAACCAAATACTGTATGCTCTCACTTATAAGTGGGAGCTAAGATTTGAGGATGCAAAAGCATAAGAATGATACAATGGATTTTGGGGACTCAGTGGGGAAGGATGGGAGGGGAGTGAGGGAAAGAAGACTACAAACTGGGTACAATGTATATACTGCTGGGGTGATGGGCCCCTTGAAAATCTCAGAAATCACCATTAAAGAACGTATCCTTGTAACCTAACACCACCTGTTCTCCAAACGTTATCAAAATTAAAATTTACTAAAAGGAAAAAAATACATAAGGACATTGATTCTAACAGTGTTTTAAAAGCCAGCAATGTAATTCACTACAATAAAGAACTTACAAAGAACAAAAAATATAATAACATCCCAACAGATACATAAAATATATTTATGATTAAAAAATAACCCTCTTAGCAAGCTAAGAAGAAAAAGAACTTCTTAACTGACAAAGGCTATTCATTAGACACTGGATAGGAGCATTCTCGGTAAACATTTTAGGAGGAGAATAGTTCCAAGTGGAGAGGACTTTAGTTTTGTTTACCCTGTATCCTTAGTGCCTAGAAAAAAATGCCCTGTGTATAGTAAAAACTCAGTAAGTATGAGCTGAGTGAATATCAAGTCAGAGTTAAGACAGCCATTTTCATAACATGTGTCTTGATGAGTATATATAAAAAAAATCTGGTTGGGTGTGGTAGCTCACGCCTGTACTTCCAGCACTTTGGGAGGCCGAGGCAGGTGGATGACCTGTGGTCAGGAGTTTGAGAACAGCCTGGCCAACATGGTAAAACCCCATCTCTTCTACAAATACAAAAATGAGCTAGGTGTGGTGGCAGGCACCTGTAATCCCAGCTACTTGGGAGACTGAGGCTACTTGGGAGAATTGCTTGAACCCAGGAGGTGGAGATTGCAGTGAGCTGAGATTGCGCCACTGCACTCCAAACTGAGCAACAAGTGTGAGACTGTCTTAAAAAAAAAAAAAAGAAAAAGAAAAATCTCTTGGCAGAATAAAAGGAAAAGAAGGCAAGAGACCACATAGTCACAGAAAAAAATGGAGCTGCTGTGGCTCTAATGGCTTTCTACTTTCTAGTTCTGGTTCCTACCTAACGATTCTCTATACATTACCAGCTCTATCTAGTCTTTTTAACTAGCTTTTTTTGTTGGCAACCATGATTCTTAAGACACAGCAGGGGAAAATTTGTCATCAATATTAATGTTAGTATTGCATAGTATTATATAAGTATTCTGTTGTAGGCTACAAAAATAATCCCAAAAGAAGCTCCCAAACTGCTGAGGTTTGCAGAATTAGTGTGCATTTTGCACTGCCAGTACCTATTACAAAGATTAAAATGTTCTTGACAAATATCATAGCTTCTTTTAAAGAGTACATGTAACTCAATTTGAATTTTGTAATAATCAAAACATACACATTATAGACACAATATGTTTCATGATTCCACTCATGAGTGTACCTGGGTTTAAATTCTGATCCTGGTTCATAAGATATAAGATACCATAAAAGGGCTTCAAAGGTGGGGCTATTCTCCTTTCTTTCCTATAACATACCATAACATATGCTTATGCTAGTGAATAGTTCTTATACCTTTTACCCTAAAGTGAACTTTATCACAGACATTTTTATTACACTGTTTAATGTTTTTCCTCATAAATATCCACTGAGTACTTACTGTGTCAAAAACTTTCAAAATTTTAATACACAAAGATGAATACAGCTATGACCCCTACTTCCAAAGACTTCACAGGACTTTCACAGATTGGCTAATAAATTAGGACCTTCGGCTTGTTTCCTCTTTATCGATCAATTTGTAATCCTTCCTCTGCACATACCTGACTTCTTTTCTTCATTGTTGTCTCTCTCCCCGTCATCACGGTGCACAAATTCATCCCCCTCACTTTCTCCATCTGATTTGTCAGTGTCACTGTCATCAGTACTGTCATCATGCTTATCTTGATCCATGTCCTCAGGATAGCCATCATCTTCACTGGTGCTAGAAATATCATCATCATGACCTCGCTGGGCTGAAAAGTGGGAAGGGAACATGGAGAAGTAACATTACTGGATCCTCTAAAACATGGTACCCAGAAATACTGAAAATTATGCTATTTTAACTCAAGACTGTAACAATTCTTACAAAAAAAAAATTCCTGTACATAGCTATTCATACAGTCTAACAATATTTTCATTTGCCAATAATTTTAAACACTACTTTTTGGTAATTTAAGATTTTTTTAAAAAGAGGTTCTAATTTGAGAACTCATTTCCTTTGGCAACAATCATGTTTATATACACATAGAGTCAGTGAATGTATACAACACTGTAGTCTGATGACAACGAGCTAAAAGGGAACAAGATATACAAGTCTTAAAAGATAGAGTGACATCTCTAAGAAGAGCTTAATTTAAAACACAGTATACTTATGTATGATGCTGTTACTTGGGTAGATCCTATAATTTACCCGACTGTATGTATATTAGTATTTACATGACATCCTCTCATTTACTTCCTAAGCTCTGAGAGTGGTGAACAATATGTTAAACAGGGCCAACATAAAACATGGTCATTATAACAGCAAAAGAACAGTCACTTCTCACCAAGTTCAGGACTATATAACATGTCTTCATCTCGCCTACGAGGGGGAAGATCGAGGGCAAAACCAACTTTACGGCCATACATCTGCACGACTTGAGGAGGAGGTGGACCAGGAGGAGGGCCAGGAGGTTTTCTGCCAGGGGGTAAACGTGGAACACCATGTCCAAGAAGAGGAAGGATGGAAACTGCCCGAGTTGGAGGTCTGTCAAAAAAAAACCAAAAAAACCCCACAGTAATCACTTAATAATAATGAGATATTTTTCTCTTCTAAACAATTTTCAAGGGATTTCTTATTTTACATTTAATCAAATTTCATACTGTTTACATCCACATTGTCTTTTATTTACCCCAGCATTAATTCTGGTAGTGGACAGTCAATTTGTGCTTTTACCAAATGAGCTCTGATTGTGAACTGCTTCCTTACCCGTAGGCTGAGGTTTTCTTTAGGATGGAGGGTGGCTGGGCACCAGGAAGTGGAATGTCCTGGATCAAAATGTTGGAAGGAGCATGTGGCATATCTGGCAAAGGAATACTCTCCACTTCCACATGCTGAGCATTCTGAAACAGAGAGAACCTTTCAGTATTACGATAAAAAAATCATCCATAAACTAAACGCTATAAATGACAAGTCAGCTGTTTCGTGACTCAGACATGCTTTCCAAATAACATAAATATCACTAAAAACTCCCACAAAAATAGCCTCATGTCAATACTTCCAAAGACTGTCAAAGAATTGAAAGAAATCTTTATTACTGAAAACACCAAAACACAGCTGTTTTTTCTCCTCTTACTATCAGGTAAGTCTTTTTGTATATGATTCGAAATAGCTGTTGTTTAGAGAAATCCAACTGTTAAAAGTACCTAACACCAAAGTTACCCTATTTAATATGCAGGGTGATAGAAAAATAATACATGTCAACTAACAAATGTATATATCCAGTGGCGCAGGTTGGGCCCATGAGCTTGCCTATGTTGAATTTCTGTTGTATATTAGCTTAGCCTACCTAAGCAAGTTAACTTGTGCCCTTATCTGTAAAATGAGGGGCATATTACCTCCTTTACAGAAATAACAGCATTTGATTTTTTCCCTTCTTTGAGGTAAAATTTACAAAACGTACAAATTCAGTCAAGTTTTGACAAATGCATATACCTCATACTCCTTCCCAATCCACCTCTAATATCCCCCAAGGCAACCACTGCTACATTTTTTTTTCCTGCATAGATTAGTTGTACCTAGAAATACAGATTAGTTGTACATATATTGTTGTACATACATTGTACACAGATTAGTTGTATTTTAGAAATGAAATTGTAACGATGAAATTAACTTAGCTTGTTGAGATTTATTGATAATTTTTGTTTTATTTCATGTTGCTTTGAGTATTAGATTATCCCTTTTACTGCTGAACAGTATTCCATTGTATAAATATACTACATTTTAATTATCCATTATCTTATTAGTGAATACTAGGCTGATCCTAGTTTTGAATTAATTTCTCCTGTTTAAATACAGAGGATTAGATTTGCTGGTTCATAGGGTAGACATGTTTAGTTTTAGAAGAAATTGCTATGAGGAAGAGGTTCAGCATGATCCATTCTCCCATTAACTTTTTAAATCTAAGTACAACTGAGCATCCCTAATGGAAAATTTAAAATGCTCCAAAATCCTAAACATTTTGACTCCCATATGATGCCATGGTGGAAAAATCCACACCTGATGTAATATGATGGGCCGCAGTTTTGTTTCATACACAAAATTATCTTCAGACTATGTGTATATGAAATATAAATTTCATGTTTAGACTCAGGTCCAGTCCCCAAAATATATGCAAATAATCCCCCTCCCTCCCTAAGAAAAACCCCTAAATCCAAAACACTTCTGGTCTCAAGCATTTTGCATAAGGGATACTCAATCTGTATAATATTTTAGTTTATCTCTCAAAAAAAAAAAAAAAACACCTTGATTACCTTGACAGCATCAAAATATTGGCTAAGTTGAGCCCTCTTCTGCTCATACTCTACTTCTAGCTTTCTCAATTCTTTGTAAATATCTGGATTCTCTTTTTCATAGAGTCGCAGAATACGTTCAAAGGTTTCACGCAGCTTTTTACGCTTATCTTTCAGTACTTTCTCATTTAATTGTGGCTGTTGCACTGGGTTAAACTCTGAGAGAAAAAGCAGATTATGGGATTAAAGGAGGGGCCACTTCAATTAGTTATCAATAGGTTACATAATAAAAAGCTCCATATATGGTGAAAAGTTTTAAAGAGCTCTAGATACGAAACATACTCTTTTCAACTTTATTCAAAGAACTACAATTTTATTAAAATCCCCACCCCTTTTAGATGGCCACTAATTTTACTTTTCTCAGAAATGCCACCAAATTAAGACTTCTTAATTAAGAGAGCCAATGCATGCTTTTTTCTGCCTTAACTAGTCTGTACTGAGTTTTATAAATTGTAACTGGAACCCTGATGAATAGTGTTGTCTTCACCCCTTTCCTTTTTTTTAAAAAGAATAACAAGTTTATCTTCTTCTTTAAATCCTATTAACTATTAATCTTGGTAATTTATTCAAATCCAGAAGGTGTAGTCTTACACCATACTATTCCTAGTGTGATTAGGAAAAGCATTGAATGTCTGAGTTTTAATCTCAGCTTTGCCACTACACAGCAGTGCGACCTTGAGAAAGCTATGTAATCTCGCTGTGCCTGAGTTTCCTAACCTGTAAAATAGGGATAGTACACCTACCCTAAAAAATTGTGAGGATTAGAAAACAAGTGGGAAAAAACTGGTGTGTAGCAAGATAACTACTCGAAAAATCTTAGTTATTACTATTTTCTCCTTTGAAAACAACACATAACATCTGGGGTCATTTAATGAAGGATTTCCTGATTCCCCAAGGAAAGTAACTGTCCTTGCTGATATTTAGACCAGAATAAAGAAGTAGGATCAGTTATAGCTGAACTGGGAAAGATCTGGAATTCTGAAGCCCAACCCAGAACTCTTACCCAGGCTAGCTGCCCAGATTCTCTGACATTATTTCAGAAACCTTTAATAGCATAATGCCATGACTGGATTTTTTGTACTCCATTTAATGTATCATTGAGGAGTTTCACTGCATCTCTTTTACTTACTACTCTGTTTTTGGACAAATCATAGAACTTGTAAAGATCACTTTAAAATACTATTTTAAAAAGATGACAAAGGGTAGAAGACAAAGTGGCAAAAATTTGCCAGGTGAAAAGCACATGGAAGTTAACTAGACTATTTTATTTTCTGCATGTTTGAAAATTTCTATTAAAAGAAACAAATAAAATATTCTGCATGCTCTAATATCAAACAGAAAGGGTATCTGTGGGTTAGGGTAAAGTTTCCCGCAGCGGCATCAATGATTCTCAAACTCGGATACAAAAAAACATAACATCCAGCCATTTCACGTGATTCCAGTTATATCAAAGCAGCAATACTTAAGATGCACATGGAGAGTGAATAAAATGATGCTATGGAATGTGAAAAAGGCAAAGAATCCTGGTATAGTATTTTATATATTTGGTTTTAGGTATTTGATGATTTTTTTCTACATCTTTGCTAAAAATTGGAAATTTTTGCTAAAAATTTGGATAAACTGGAAATGCCTTATATTCACAGTGGCCTGATACTTAGATTTACATGGTAGTTGCCAGCATTAAATAAAAGATGACAAACAAAAAACCCAAAGTTATTTCATAAACCAGATTCTTTTCCTGAAAAGCAAGCTGGCCAAACTGAGCTTCTGTTCTCTCATAGTAACAATTAGCTGAAAGCCAAATGACTGCTCCCCTCTCATTCTGGTATCTGGGGTCTCCAGTTTGCAACAGCCCTCTAGCACTCCATTTTGCCTCCTGAAACTAACATTAAATCCAAGCATCAAATGCTATCGCGCTGTTCTGTTTTACTTACGCCTATGCTGCTTCACTCATTACCTGTCTGCCTCTGTATGTACCAGACTGTTACAGCTGCCTGTTTGTAAATTCTTACCCATTTCATCCAATTTCTCCATGTCTCGGATAATCTGTTTTGGATCCTTCATCTTTAAAACGGCAGCTCGAACCATCATGCGCTGTTTTTTGTTCTTATAAAAATAAAAGAGGGGCAGAACGTCAACAAGTCAGACACTCATGAGTTTTATTTCAACTTGCTTTAAGAATCTAAACAGAATTTTGAACTCCTTGGCTTCTGATCACTTGTTTCAACCACCAGAAACAGCTATGTAATTTTTTTTGCTTTAAAAACGTTTAGACCTTTCAAAAAGATGAATGCTATTTTTAAGATGTGCTTTCTTAGGAAAGCATTTCTTTTAACTCTGTGAGATCTTTAGCAGTTACTTAAACACACATACATACTTTAAATTTCTTTTTTTTCTACCTCTTATTTTCTTAAAGACTTCGGGTGATTGTTCCTGCCCCCTGTTCTAAAACCTCTGCTAGCTGAATTCCAAAATTTTCTTTATCAAAAAAAAAAAAAAAAAAAAAGCTCAAAGGTTTAAGTGCTGAAATTATATAAAGAATATTTCGGCTGGGTGCAGTGGCTCACACCTGCAATCTCAGCACTCTGGGAGGTTGAGGTGGGCAGACCAAAAGGTCATGAGTTCGAGACCAGCCTGCCAGTATGGTGAAACTCTGTCTCACTAAAAATACAAAAATTAGCCAGGCGTGGTGGCAGGTGCCTGTAGTCCCAGCTACCTGGGACGCTAAGGCAAGATAACTGCTTGAACCCAGGAGGCAGATGTTGCAATGAGCCGAGATTCCACCACTGCACTCCAGCCTGGGTGACAGAGCAAGAATTCGTCTCAAAAAAAAAAAAAAAAGATTTAAAAATTTTGCAGAATTTAATGCTAAACATGAAGACACAATTGAACATTATTTAAAATCTGTGTCGCTTCTATGTATTAAGGCACAATACTATAAAGCAAATTCTTTCTTATTCCGTTGAAGTACTTAGTCACAAATCCAACAGCTAAGAGGAAAATGCTAATTAGGAAAATGGATACATAAAGCTAATATAGCTATAAATATTAGAAACCAATATATATAGTTAAGCTAATGTAATATACATAATATACAGCTAATCAGGAAAATGGATATATAAAGCTGTCTAGCATCATATTTATTTCCATTCTCATCAGTAGGCTTTAAAAGTTATGTTTTAATAAATAACAAAAAAGAATGATTTTCAAAAGTATATAACTCATTGGGAAAAGTAGTCAAATATCATTATAACCTGTGTGAGCTTCTCTGCAAAGTTACTTCAGTTCCTTAGTAAATTTTGGCTTAGTTTATTTCACAGTTTTTATAAAAAGCATAAAGCATCTTTTCTCATAAAATTAGAAACGTTATTCTGAAACCCACTAATCCCAAATCACAAGATGTGCCAAACAATACTTAAAGTTTTACAAGACGCTTCTGAAATCATACCTTCTTTAATTCTCTCTTCCGGGCTTCCTTTCCTTTAAAAGAGAGGGAGATATAATAAAACTTTTGAATCTTGAACGTTAGCATTTCCTCCAATTTAATACAGGCAAGTCTTAACTGTGGGGAGTTATAGTATGCACTGTAAAATAGCAGCATCTTTGGCCTCTATTCACTACATGCCAATAGCATCCCTCAAATTACGACAAAAATGTGAAGACATTTTAAATGTTTCATAAAAAACAACTATGAGTCTGAAGGAAAAGGATAACATAAAATGCTAAACAAGGGCTTGCAAAACTAATTTGCTCAAAATTTCAAATACAAAGAGAAAGCTTTCAGCCAATTCTACTGTGCAAGTCAATCAAATTTGAAAAATATTGTTACTAATTTATTTATTTGCATGTTTAAAGTCTTAATCATGTGCCCATACAAACACTAAATATACAATTTACTCCTCTTATCACTGCTGGTCTTGCAATTAAGCCACAGGGAAAGAAACCCCCTAATATTTGCAATTTTTAACACCATCCTACTTCATCATTCCACACCAATGGCCACTTACGGGCTTGGTCTGTGGGGTTCATAAATTTTCCACTCTTGGTGGATGACGTAGATCTCCGTCCCATGTTGACAATCTATATGGTTTACTTGTTCATTAAAAAAGAAAAACCTGTGAAGGTGAAAACAAAGAAACAGCTTATATCTTCTATATTTATTTATTTCTTTTTCTAGTCCTTACTAATTTCTGAAAAGAAACATTCCTTTAATTATAAATTCTGTGAGACCGTTCTTTCCTTAGTTTTGACTTTAATGTCCACGAAAGATGGCATCAACTTTCTTGACCATGAAAATTTAGATCTCTATCATTCTTTAGAAATATGATGAATGTGAAGCCCACTTCGAATATGCTCAAGTCATCAGTTTAACCCTTTTTTATGGATCACAGCATTGACTATGTCAACTGATTAAAAAAAAAATTGAAAATGCGTTAACGGTATGACACAAACCATGAACATCAGAAGCCATTAGTCCTTCTACTATAACGTCCCTTTATTAACATATAATTGTAAAAGAAGAAGAAGGGAATGAGCGTATAAATCTGGGCTCAAAACAAATACCTCGCCCTTGCCTCTCTCCATGGTTTTTCTTGGCATGTATCCTGTACGTTCTCAACACCTCTAAAACAGTAAATTGTTGATATAAGCATATTTAATTCTCACTGATTTAAGCATATTTAATTCAGATTCGGTTCTAATTCGGACATAATTCTTGACGCTCAAGAGTTCAAAACACAACTGAAAATGCAAATATTTGAAATTAGTGCTATATTAAGAGGTCCCCACAACTTAAATACTAAGATATATATATTTTCTTACCAATATCTGGCTCCCAATATATATTTCTTAAGGTAATTAAAAATAATACTTATGTTTGAGGAAAAAATATTTTATAAGCTAAAACTTTTATTAACACAGTACAATCAATATTACATGACTTCTTCCTCTTATTTCAAAAGAATGGGGCTTAATTTTTTGAAGCCCAGTCTTTCCAGTAATAAAGGTGGACAAATTTGCTTCCTTTTCCAAGTAGGCACCTTTTAAAGGTAAGAAAGGGGAGATTTTGTCAGACGAGTTTATTAGAGTTAATTTCTCTTTCACCAAGTGTTCAACTGCCCCGATTTCCGCCAGATGTTTCAGAGCTGTTTTGCTGGCAATTACTTCAAGACGGGGGTGACAAAGGCTCTGATTTTCAGCTTTCTCATCTAAAAAATGGGGACATTAATTACTTTACAACAAAGCTCTGAGGATACAATGAGGTTACAAAAAAACATATCCTGTGATGTCTGACTCACTATTTAACTATAATCTTTATAATGGATCTACATTCCTGGCCCATATACCCTGTCAAGTGGTTTCCTTGTCAGAAAAACTGGGTGGTGGGAGAGTAGCAGGGAGCAGGACGTGGGGAAGGAGGAAAACAAGCAAAATCAGTACAAATACAAGCTTTGATTGGGTGCGTTTCCGTGCTCTCCTAAGGGTCCTCAGGCTCACGTTCTGAATCTCCTCCCCCACAAATGAAACACAACGAATTGCAGAGAATTTCACGGAAGATACTGGCGCTTAAGTCTGCACAGATTAGTTTTTCGTCTGCAAGCGGGGCCGATTGGGAAATCAGGCCAAATAACCGTTGCGGAACTCTAAATAGCCAAAGAGGCTTCAATGACATAGGGACCAGGTTCACCAAAGGAGGCAAAAGCAGCAACTGCCGAAACCATAGCGACGGTTGACCGACCATGATTCCAGGTACGAGACGTGAAACCCAAGGCTACCAATCAACGTGCACAGGAAGCCGCCCCAACCGACCCGGGCGAAGCCAACCGCGTAACCGCTGGTCGTCGCGCCACCCCAGGCCCGGCAATACCCCAGTCCGCAACCGGAGACCCCACAGGAGGAGCGGGGCAGAGGGGCTGGGTGTCCCTGAAGCCGCTGCGCGGGCCGCAGAAGGGACCAAAGAGACAAGGAAAGAGTAGAAAAGCAATCCCATACACTCACACTTCCGCTGTGCTCCCAGGACTGCGAGAAGCGGGGAGGGAGCGATTCCCGGCCTCTTTTACCGGTAAGGGCCTTCAACTCAGCCCCTCGGTCAACACCTCAGCTACCGCCATCTTGAAACCTCGCGCCCCTCCGCAATCCTTACGTCATTTCCCATTCCTCCGTCCAGCCTTCTCTCTGCGTAGCTCAGTCCCGGAACCATAGAGAATACCCGAGAATCCAGGACCAGAGTCGCTTCCGGCTCCATACAATACCCAATTGGTTGGTTATCGGCTAAGAGCCCGCCTCACTGGGAGTATCTAGTACAATAGGAATTAGAAGACGAAAGCTGCTATCTGATTGGTTGACGATCCTGCCTCGAGTTGGAGGCGTTCTGACCTGATTGCTGGGATCTTAGTGCGTTGAGCTGTCAGAGAACCGTGCGTTCTGCAGATAGAGAAGTGTTCTGCGTTTTCTGTTTCATAGAATTACATTAGTTTTTGGATATTTATGTTTCCTATGATGCAGGCAGGTGCCATCCTCTAGGGGTGTTTCAGTTTGTGGACGAATACCCAGATAACATTTGCCACTGAGTTTAATCTGCTTTGTAAGCACCAGGTTATCCCATGTGGGCGCCTGGTACGTGTGGAAATTTAATAGGCAGGCAGAACAGAACATTCGTAGACCTGAACAAATAAATCGGCACCCTTGTTAGAGTCGCAAATTGCTTATACGGGCGGTGATTTATTATTTATTAGTATTGTTTTGAAGAGGAGATATGGGCATACATATGCAGTCGGTTTTAAATTTATGCGTGGGGAAGTTGATCTGTATTGGCTCTATTCCAGACTGGTCTTTTCATCAGCCAAAAGTCCTCTATGATGTCACTCTACGTACGGGATTTTCATCAGCCAAAAGTCCTCTATGATGTCACTCTACGTACGGGATTATTCACTTAACCCTAGGCTTCGTCCCTACCTTCTACTCCCTCTTTCCGTACCTTCTAGACTCTCTTTCCCTGAGTCTACCCCCACTTATTTCCCTTAAAGGTAAGTTTAAACATTTAAAAAATTATCCTACAGGACCCACTTAGTTATTTCTAACCTTAACCTGAGTATCCCATGTAGGAAGGCTATTCTTACCATCAGTTATAAATATTTCAAATGTTGGTGGGGATACATATTAATTTTTAGCAGAATCTTTAAACTGCCCTTAGCGGTGTAAGAGCATTCCTATCGTTCCAATACCTAAACTTACCTTTGTGTTAGGAAATTCTTGATTTGACTTTAGACTGAATTTGAGTCTCAGAAAGCAATGACAAGATCTTACAGGTTAAAGCTGATAAACGAGGTAATACATTAAACAGAAAATAATCTTGAATGTTGAAGGTGAACTAAGTTGTCATGTTTTGCAGCTAGTGTTTTTTTCTTTCTCTGCACCATAGTAGTGGTCATAGTTTTGCAACTAGTTTTGAAAAACAATGCTAGAAAAGAAAGAGAAAACAAAGTGTATGTTGGAAATAGTAAAGTCAAGTAGCTAAAATTTTTCATCTAGCTAATATTTTTAATATATGCTGAGCAGTTTTTATTTCAATACATTTCTTATACTTGGATGGGAGAATCAACTATAACAAACAGTCTGGCATCAACAGCATATTAATAATTTTGTCAGTATAGACTAAAAGAGTCCTCATGGGAATTATTCATTGACAAAGGATTGAGAAAACAAACACATCTGCAGAGGTTCAGCTGAACCATTAGGCCTCCATGGACTTTGGCGCTTTCTGAAATTAGGTAATTAGTGACATGGCTCACCTAATATGTCATGTAGCAAAGGCAGCTGCCTCCTTTTTGCTAGTGTTGAAAATGAAACTATGTATTTTTTTCTGAAAACTTATGTTATAATAAACTGTGATTTTCCTTTAAATGACAAATGCTTTAAAAGTACTGACCTTCTATTCTGCATCCTAAATGCATTTTATTCATGTGTAGCTGTGCTTAGCTTGCTTGTCTTTTAAATGTTTCAGTGTTTGAAAATTCACTTGAGCCATATTTAATCATCACAGTTGGTCAGGGTTGATTGCAGTTATAGAAACAGGACCTTTATGTTTTTAGTTTTGATTTTTACCATTTTAAAATCCATCCAGTTTACATTATGTAATTAGTAGATGTTCACAGATCTTCTTCCTGTCCTAATTGAAGCAAATTGTTACAAACCGTTTTTCAGTCTCTTCCAGTTTACAGAAAACCAGATTTACTCTGATGGTCAAAAATATGGTAGTGTTTCTGTCCCATTCAAAGGCCCACAATTTATTTCTAGACAGCAGTTACTAAGTATGTCCCATTATAACTAAATCATGTTTGAAGCTGGTGGTAGAAATGAAAGTCTCTGCCAATGTGAAATTTAAGAATTTTTATGAAATTAGAAAAGGAAAAAGTAACCCCTATACTTGCACTCTGTGATATCATTTACCCTGATGTTAATCTGGTAGAGCAGCGTGTGAAAACATCCAGGGGTATGATTTCTTTTACCTCACAGGGTCTAGCACCAACTGATCCAGCCATTGTTGACTCAAAACTCATCTAGTCATCTAGTCTTGGCATCTCTAATTTCCCTCTCCAAGTCCATATTGGAAGCATCTAAAAAATGAACCTAATCAAAGAAACAAACATGTTACTGAAAAGGAAGCAGAAAAACATTCCAGTGCAGATAAAATGGCTGTTCATTTCATTTGCTGTTTCACTGTATTGGTGACCTCAGTAATAGCGTGATTATATTTTTCTGAGGCTGACTTGAACTCCACCAGATGCTTCTCATAACTTTTGATGGCTGCTTGAAGCTGTGTTCTTTCCACTGCTCCCAGGATGGCACGGACAATCATATCTATGCCAAGGCCAAGAACAGCAACTCCAATACTACCAAGGAGAGAAGCACCAATTTGTGCTAACACAGTGACCAACTTGTTAATGATGCCAGTGGTGACACTGGAGCCCACAAGTTTCACAGCGACTGCACTGGCTGCAGATGTAGCTTCTCCCAGAATGACTGAAATAACCTTTTGCACTATCGCAATTTTCTCTGTTTCTCTTTCCTTAATATCCTGAAGTTTTCTGTAGAGGGTTGGCTCTAGCTTATCTTTTAGTGCTTCATCCACCGTTTGCACTTCCTTTTGAATGTCCCTAATGGCTTGGATGACGATGTCGCAGTTTTCTTTGATAGTCCCGTCTCTTTTCATCTCAATGGAGGCCAGCCTGCACCCCAAGTGCACATTTAGAACCTCAGTCAGCTTATTGGTGACGTCGAAGCTGTCAGATAAGCAATCAAGGAGCTGCTGGTGAAGACGATTTACTTCCTGCCGCCTCTTTGGGTTCTCTGGATAGAGGAAGTCACTTTGGGCCATATTTCCAGTGTGATCGCTGAAAAATAAAATGGTACATTTTTACTCAAAGTCTTAAAAAATATCTGCTAACTGTGTAGAAGGGACTAGGAAATCTTTTTCATCATGAATAGCAAAGAAGCAATATGCTGTCTAAGGAGAATTCCTCAGAATGCTCAACAGGTTCTTTAAAACAGTTATTGTTAAGAAATTTGGAGTCGGTATGAAGAATGTAGGCAACAGAATACAACCCCTTTGATGCATACATTAAGGTATTAGATTTTGTGGTGGGAAATAAATTAAGGCATTAGATTTTGTGATGGTGGGAAATATTCATGTCTCTCAAGCATCTATTAATAAGCATGATTGTTTCCAGGTAATATTTAATAACATTTATTTGAAACACACCCCAATTCGAACTGCTTAGCTCTTGATTACTAGAGCTCCTTAGTTTCCCCAACCCCTACTCACCACATCGACCATGCCTACCAGACTGATTTCTCTAGCATTTGGAGTTAAATTGATAATCAGGGCCAGATGAATATTCATAACTATGAATTTACAGGGCTATTTTTTGTGTTTCAATATTTGGTGGTTTTAATTTAAAATACTCAAATCACTTTATATTTTTCTACAGGCAAATTATTTGTTTTCTAAACCTAAGGGATATCCAAAGGCAACATACATATTATGCTAGAATCTTTAAAAATTTTTTTGGGGATAAGAGTATATATTCAAGACTCTATGGATTAAAATTTCATGTGGGGAGAAGGTAGGCACTATACAAGGCACAGTATTAATCAGAGATAAGCACATGGCTATCTTTGTGATTTTCCATTTGCAAAGCATATAAATTAAATTATTTAGAATGGTCTAAATAGTATTGCACCTGGGCATTATTTAGATAAGTTAGAGTTAATGTCAGAAAAAAAAATGGCATTTTACAAAAGTATTAAAGAATAAGGGGGTAGGCACCGCGGCTCAGGCCTGTAATCCCAGCAGTTTGGGAGGCTAGGGCAGGTGGATAACTTGAGGCCGGGAGTTCAAGACCAGCCTGACCAACACAGAGAAACCCCAACTCTACTAAAGATACAAAAATTAGTGTGGTGGTGCAGGCCTGTTGCTGGAAGCTGAGGCAGGAGAATCGCTTGAACCCAGAGGAGGAGGTTGCAGTGAGCCGAGCTCGTGCCACCGCACTCCAGCCTGGGTGACAGAGTGAGACTTTGTCTAAAAAAAAAGAAGTGGTGAGGGTACATCATAGAATTAATAAAATAAACTTGATAAAAGGCTTCAGCGTTTGTCCTTCTGACCTACGGTACCATTTAGAAACCACTAACAGTCATGCTCTTCTGTGTTTATTTGGATGAAAAACCTAAATTTGAGCCAATAAAATCACGATGCTATTCAATATGCATACTTTCAGTAGCCTTTCTATGTGGCTGGCACTTTTATTTTTTTTTTTTAAATTAAAACGTTGGGAGAAAAGAAAAAAAGTTCTCTATCCACATCCATGTGGAATCTGGCACAGTCTCTTTTTGAGTAAACAACATTGTAATTAATTTGGACCCTCTGTCTTGTGCACCAGGGTTCTTATTCTGCTTAAGGGGAACCTCAGAAGCATGGGATGAAGGAATGAAGATGTTTTTCTTTCAAGAAAGTAAACCTGAAAACAACCTATCCTCCAAATCGTACGAATATAATTTGGAAAAGGAAAAGGGAAAATTTTCTGAAATGGTTTGGAACATAAATAACCATGTATGTTATTAGATTTAGAAAAAATGCACTGGAACCTCCTGGTAAAATAAATCGCCATGGTCAG